CGGCCATCTCGTCTCTACCACTTCGAGATTAGGCTTGATACTTACTAGGTACACGTTATTTACATACTCATACTACACTTGCTGCACTTTTTGTGCAGGATCTGAGACATGTACTAGTGGAGAACCTATCATCACATACCCACGTCATCCCGAGGCATAGTGGTGAGCTGCCTTTCTGAGCCGTTCTGCAGCTACCAGTGTCTCTTCTTATATTTATATTCTGTCTATTTCATTTCAGACAGTATTTGGAGTTTTGTATAATCTACTAGATGCTCATGCACTTGTGACACCGGGTCTTGGCACACACATTGGTAGAAGTTAGTATTTTATTATTTTCTTGGAATAAAAGTTTAACTAATGTACGATTGACTTATTAGTTGGCTTGCCTAGCTGTAGTATTGGGCGCCATCACGACTTATAGGTGAAATTGGGTCGTGACAAAAAGTTAGTTAATCAAATATCTGTTTCGTCTTATTCAAATCCTAAGTTGCTTCCTACCGTAAGTTTATTTTATTTTGCTTGGCAGTAGATGAGTAGAAGTGTAGAATCCAAACTTCTAAGGATTCTTTAAGATAAATAAGGATGCTCTTCTAGACTTAGTATTTAACTTGCATTTCTACTATCAAATTATTATTGTATTTATACTAGAGAGGAAGCTTTCTCATTTAATTTATTTCTTACTTCGTGACTGAGAGCATATAACATGAGGTGGAATGAACTTTATTTTATAGGAAAGTGGTCCTAATATTTATGATTGAGATGGATAAATTTGTCACGAGGTTAGATCATTCTCAACCAAGTCCATCCTTGAGCCAGGTGAATGCCAATTTTTCTCATCTAATAGATGAACTCATTTTGGAATCACTTGAACCCGATCCAGGAGAAAGAATACCAATTGCTGACTATAACCCTCGAATACGAGATGAAATGAGAAGAAACTATATTCAAAAAGGTCCTTGTCAACCTTCGAGCATCAATTTCCCAAAACTAAAATAGGAGGGAGAATGCGTCAATTTGTTCCAAGTTGGTTCAAAGGTCAATTTTCTAGATGGTTGGAATATAGTGTGAAGAAAGATGCGGCATATTGCCTATGTTATTATTTGTTCAAAAATGAATTTATTCATGGAAGTGTGGGTGAATTCTATACAAAGAATAATTTTAGGGCTTGGAATAAGGGTCTTGAAAGATTGCGTCTATATGTTGGTGATGTTAATAGTGTCCATGATAAATGTTTCAAAAAGATGCTAGATTTATCAAATCATCATCAATCAGTTCAAGTTGTTTTTGATAAACACTCCGAGAAATTAAAAAGTGAGTATCGAATGCATTTAGAAGCATCAATTGATGTGGCAAGACTTCTATTACTTTATGTATTGCCTTTTAGGGGTCATGATAAAAGTGAATCTTCAACAAATCAAGGTCTCTTTTTAGGATTTTTACGATGGCATGGGGACAAGCATCCGGATGTGGGGGAAGTGATATTAGAAAAGGCTCCGCAAAATGATACTTTGACTTGCCCTATGATCCAAAAGGATATTATCAATGCTTGTGCAAAAGAAACATTGAAAGCTATAATTGGAGACTTAAATGGAGATTACTTTGGTATATTGGTTGATGAATCCAAAGATATCTCACACAAAGAACAAATGGCGCTTGTTTTTCGTTACGTTGATTAGAATGGTGAAGTTGTAGAGCGATTTGTTGGTCTTGTCCATGTTAGCGATACATCGGCATCATCATTGAAGGAAGCAATCTATTCTTTACTTTCAGAGCACTCACTAAGTCCATCTAAAATACGTGGACAAGGTTATGATGGGGCTAATAATATGAGGGGAGAGATAAATGGTCTTAAGACTTTGATTATGAAAGATAGTCCATCAACATATTACATTCATTGTTTTGCTCATCAATTACAATTAACATTTGTAGCTATTGCTAAAAAGCATTTGGATGTTGAAGATTTCTTTTGTCATGTTACTAATGTGTTGAATGTTATTGAAGGATCTTTTAAGCGTAGAGATTCGCTTCGTCTTCTTCAAGCTGAAAAGTTGGAGCAATTACTTGAGTCCGGTGAAGTTCATACTGGACAAGGATTAAATCAAGAACGGGGGCTTCAAAGACCAGGTGATACTCGTTGGGGATCACATTTCAAAATATTAGATAACTTTATTGTTCTTTTCTCATCTATTGTCCGTGTGCTTGAAGTGATTAAACATGGAGGTTCTACCTCAAATGATAGAAATCAAGCTAAGTATCTTCTGAGTGAGATTAAAACATTCAAATTTATTTTTATGCTACACTTGATGTTGAAAGTGTTGTCATTGTCAAACGAGTTGAGCAAGACCTTACCAAAAAGGGACCAAGATATTGTTAATGCTGTGGAGTTTCTTAACATTACAAAGAAAAGATTGCAAGATATGAGAGAAAGTGAATGAGAATCTTTGTTGGAGTGTGCTTCCTCATTTTGTGCTATGTATGATATTTTGATTCCCAAGATGGATGAGTTTTATTTTTCTGGAAAGTCAAAGCGGAAGTCTTCTAGTATTTGTTATTCACACCACTTGCGTGTTGAAATATTTTGTGCTGTGATTGATGTGCAACTTCAAGAGCTTAATGACCGGTTTGATGTAGTGAGTAGTAATTTACTTCTCGGGATGGCTAGCTTAAATCCAGTCAATTCTTTTGCTAATTATGATAAAGGTAGAATACTGACTTTAGCAAAGTGTTATCCAAATGAGTTTGATGAAGTACAAATTCGGGATTTGAGTTATCAACTCGATACTTTCTTAATTCATATGCGATGTGATAATGCCAAATTCTCCAACTTGCAAGGAATTAGTGATTTGGCAAAAGCATTGGTTGAGGCAAATCTTGTGGAGACTTATTCATATATTTACTTACTTTTGAAGTTGACTCTGATTTTACCTGTTGCTACTGCAACTGTGGAGAGAGCATTTTTATTTATGAAGCAAATAAAGAATGATGAGCGGAATAGTATGGGTGATCAATATTTAAATGATTGTTTAGTTTGTTACATAGAGCGGGATGTATTTACAAATGTAAGTAATGATGTTATTATTGACTGTTTTCAGAATATGAAAATTTGTCGAGGACAATTGTAAAGGAATGATGTATATTTATGATATTAGTAGTATTTTTGAAAATTTTATGCTTTGCGCCAAGTTGGAATTTTTGGACCAACTTGGCACCCGGAACCTTCGAATCCTGGATCCACCTCTGCTCACACTATGATAAAGGAAAAATACATTAACCCTTAAATTTGGCACGCATTATTGGTTACATCCTTGAATTATCTGTGGTCTTATTTAACCTATACTTGGTTATTCGATAGTTGTTACCCCCTTAGACGATCTCATCCCAGGAAAGTGGTATGCACTCTGCCGCGTGGATTTTCCTGTCCATGTGGCATTTTTTTGAAAACTAAATTTTTTTTTTACCTTTTTAAGCGCGTTCCTTTTTAGATAATTTTTTTGGATAATATTTATAGTAAAACTTGGCTAAAACTACATTATTTAGGCGATTTGTTTTTATTTGGATAAAAATAATAAAGTTTTAGTTATTCTTTTTTGAATTTGACCTGAAAATAAAGATTTATACAGTTGAAATAAATAGTCAAGGCATCTAAAAATATATAAAAATATATAGTTTGAACTTTATTATTTTGGCTATAATTTTTTATATAGCTCTAAATTATATGGAGCTCTAAAAATATATGTTTTTTTCTGATAGATTTTATCTGAAAATGTAAAAATACACAGTTGAAATAAATAGACATTATATCAAAAGAAGAAATAAAAAGAGAGTACAATTACAACTCCACTATTTTGGCTATACCCTTTTTATTTGGTAACAAATAATGGAGTTGTAGCCAATATTTTTTTTTACTTATTTGACTCAAAAATAAAAATATATAATTAAAATAAATAGACATTATATCTAAAGGAAAAACAGGAAATACATAACTAGTACTCCATTATTTTTGCTAAAGTTTTTCATATGGCTAGAATGAAGGTGTTCCAACCAAACTTTTTACATTTGACCCCCCTCCCCCCCAAAAAAATACATTTGGAACAAATATACATTATATTTATAGAAGAAATTAAAAAGAATAAAAGTTAGAGTAAAGTCCACATTGTATATTAAGATGAAGCAAGAAGAAATATATAGTTGTAGCAAATAAATCATTATATATGATTATATGACAATTAAAAGTTAAAAAATAACCTACTTGAAAGTTTATTTTTTAATTTTTCTTTACTCCCACACGCTTAAAAAAATAGTGAACCCACACTCTTTTCTAGGGGTGTCAATGGTTCAGTTCGGTCGATTATTTTATAAAATTTGTACCATACTAATTTTTCGGTTATTTTATTATGTGTAACCAAAATTAAACTTTCCGAAATCGCCTCAGTCATGTCGGTTTCTCTTCGGTATCAGTACAGTTCGGTTAATTTTCGGTATTATTTTTAAATGTCAGGTAAAAATTACTAGTAGAAGTAAAGTGCAATAACATACATACTTTTATATGATTTCGCAAAACTCTCTAAATATTTTTACTGTTTAAAAAGTGATAAATTAAGAAAACATGAAAGATGACCATAGTATTAGATCCATCAACTATTCTACACCAACATAAAAGACTATAAGCAAAGACAAAGAAAATATAAATCACACGAATGAAAAGATATTAACCAAGTTGGGATTCAAAAATAAAGTATATGGAAGATTAAATATTCAAAAAGATAAATTTAAATTATACGAAAAGAAACATATTCAATACATTGTTGTTTGCTTCTCATAATCGCTAAAATACTTTGTATCTTGCTAGCGAATATGCTGAAAATAATTTAGTTTCAATAGGAATAGCATAATAGTTTTGGGAATTAGGATTTTTAGTTTAATTACTCGTTGACTTTTAACCATTTCTATAATTCCAATGCCCCCCCCCAAAATATTAATGCATTATTATTTTTAAACTTAATATATAAATATATTTTCTACATGTAAATTTATTTGGTACGGTTCGATATTTTTTTGGTTTATTTTCACAAAATAAAAAACCTACCCTAATTATCGGTACAATTATAAATTTATATAAAAACCTACGGTTTTATTAAAAGAAACCTAAAAATTGGTTCGGTACGGTACGATACGATACGGTTCGGTCGATTTAGTTGATTTTTAAATATCCATTGACAACCCTACTCTTTGCCACATTAGCATTGAGGGGGCAATGACTCTCAAAAAGCCCAAATTAAAGGGTAATTAAGCGCACTAATAATTTAGGAACTTAACTAATAATTCAAGCCAAGTTTAGGGGTTTTTCCGTCCTATGATAAACTTTCCTTGGATTCCTCTGTTGAACACTTGAACCAATACCTATTTGAAGTTTACCTTAACCCTTAAGCCAAAAAAAGAAAGAAAAAATCCGTTTCCTCATCCTCTGTGATCTCATGGCTTCACTGGTTTCAACCCTCTGTATCTTCTTCTTCTTCTTCAATATAATTCTTAACCCAGGTAAATTTCTTTTACTTTTTTTACTCTTTTCATTTCAGACAAAAAATAAAAAAAAAATAAGAAAAGCTTAACTTTGACTGCTTTTTTACAGTTCATGCTCAGTGATCTTTGAAGATGGTTACTCAGTTAAGACAGTGATTGATGGAAACAAGATCAAAATTAACCCTCACTCCATAATTCCTGTACTGGGTACTGGCAATTTCATCATTCTTGATTCTGCTGCCAGTACTTTTTACACATTATCATACAACAAAAACTTTGGTAAATTTTATAAAGATTAAATTTTTTCTCTATATGGTGAAAATTTCAAGATGATCTTATTAACAAAGAATTTTTAGTTAGAGTCGATTGTAAATCTCCTAAAGAGATTCTTCAAAAAGATGTCAAAAACCTTGTTTCAAAACAAATATTTGCTAGATGGCAAACTCTACTTTGATTTCAAAATAAATTTTATTAAAGGAGAAAATAACTCTTTACCTAATTTTCTAACAAGAGAATTTTTACAGGGAAAAAATAAGGCCCTTCAAGCCTAACACTCCTTCCAAAGGAAAAGAGACCAATAATCCACAAATGGCTAGACCATTTGTTCTTCCTCCTATTTCTCCCAACAAAACAATAGCCCCTCAAAGTCCCCAACTTCCTTTCCAAAACAGGTATACAACCTTAGCTGAGTATCCCAAACTACCAGCCCCAATACCAGTTCCATCAGCGAAACTGACCAATCTCCAACCAACAAAACCTTTTGAAAGAGGAACAACTTCTAATTCCTCAATTCAAACCAAATAAAGTTACTCTATGACAGTCCCTGAGACTTTTGCAGAAGAAGTCAACCCTTCGGCAAAGAAGGTACAAGAATATCTTCCTAAAGAAGTACTAGCAGGTCAAGTATGAAAAGCAAAGATCGAGAAGTTTCTTAAAGGAGATGGTTTAACCGAAGAGTTGCAGATTAGCATATAGATTCTGTGGTAGGATAACCGTGTGCCTTGAGAAAGTTTAGAGCGGTTCGGGAATCATGGTCGAAAATTCACTAGGTCTACGAATTTTATTTGGGATGGTGGCTACTATATTAGAGAATATTGAATATGGCAGAAATGAGTTTGCTTGAAATGAAGAGTAATGTGAAAACTTAATTATCGTTGGGATGCAACATGACTTCGAGTTTGAAATGTGTTGTCGCACTTTTAGTTGATGTCAATAGGGAATGAACAGACTTGTACAGCTGGTGGGCAAGGATGGGCTTAGGAGAGTTTTACTAATTTCGTGATAGTTGTACCTAGTGCAGCGTCATTGGAAGATGTCAGTAAGGAATTACACATGTGGGTGATCTCCTGTGAGCAATAGAATAAGCTTCACATCAACCGAATGGAACATCCTTCAACAATAGCAATATGGAGCCAATCAATCTGGCTCGATGTAGAATACACATCCTAATTGGGCCTACCAATGGCCCCCAAATCAACTATGGTCAGCCACCAATAGATAAACAACCTCTGAAAGTTCACAATGACGGAATCATAGCACCTTCTATCATCTGGCTAGCTCCGGCCACAACTGCACAGTCCACAACCATGAAACAATCTACTCCTGAGAACTCCCAATCTCCAATTCCATATAACACATGAATCGCCATATTTGATTCCACCTCCACCGCCCGAATGCCTAATACCTCTCTCATACACAATCATCCCATGAGAAATACTTAAAAGCTTCTTCCGTACCACATGGCAAAAATTTGAATATCAACAGTCGATCAACCAGGAGAGTGCCGCAATGCCAGCGAAGTACCCATAAATCAAAACACACTTCCACTTCTGAAATGTACACTCTCATCAAGCTATACCCGATAGTAATATCATTTACCTAGTCATCGAAAATCGTTCATGCTGCCTAAGAATTT